CGGCTTGAACTCTGTGTGCGACTGGAAGTCACCAGAAGGTTGTGAATAGAGAAGAGATCTGACTTACGTTTCAAAATGGCCAATCTAAATCCTAGATCTCACTCTGGAGGAATATAGCAAGTCATTTAACTTATTTGTCTCACTCTGGAGGAATATAGCAAGTCATTTAACTTATTTGAGACTCAGTATCTTTAACATAATCTTGTCTCTCAGAGTTACTGTGAGGATAAAATGAGGAACCAGGATAGCTCCTTGTGAACCTGAAACCCCAGAACAGGTGTAGCATGCTGTGCACATGACCATCCAACATCAGGGCCTGAGGAAGTGAGGCATCATCTCCAGACACCAGCTGTATCACATGATGTATTTCACTCACACATACCCACACCCCATGGAATCAGAAAGGGCATTTCAATCAATCCCCCTGACGGAGGGAGAGGGGAAGAGGACAAAACAGAGAAATCCGAAGGCTGAAAATAAAACTGAAATCTAAGTCTGAAATCAAAACACCCAATGGGCATTGTAGGGAGTTGATGCCATGTCAACGTAGCTAAACTGGAACACCCCTTCCATTGCTCCGAACGGTCTGGAGTAGGGTTGGCCACAAGAGAAGCTGTGAGGGATGTGGAAGGAGAGAAGGAAATAGCAGGCCCGTCTCTGAGGCCAGCACAGAGAGCCAGGCCCTGCTGAAGCTCCAGCACACTGCTCACCCTGCTGGTGTGGGGCAGCCATGGGCTCAGCTTCCCAAGACGCTGCAGGCTCCACCCACTCCAGAAGGCAGGAGCAAGCAAGTAGCCCTAGTCCTCTGACTCCCTCCTCCCTCAACAACCATTCCTGATCGCTGCTGAATGGTTTGGTTGGATGGTCAACACTGAAGAGGAACGTGATTAATAAACAGGTAACACGGTGGGAGTGGGGGCACACGCCTGTAATCCCAGCACTTTGGGAGGCTGAGGCAGGTCAGGGGTTCAAGACCAGCCTGGCCAAGATGTTGGAACCCCATCTCTACTAAAAAAACAAAAATTAGCTGAGCGTGGTGGCCCATGCCTGTAATCCCAGCTACTTGGGAGGCTGAGGCAGAGAATTGCTTGAACCTGGGAGGCAGAGATTGCAGTGAGCTGAGATCGCACCATTGCACTCCAGCCTGGGCAATAGAGTGAGACTTCATCTCAAAAAAAACAAAACAGGTAACAAACAACTGGTCTGCAGAAGATGCTGTCAACAGACCTTCACAGATGGGTACATGATGTAAACAGACTCAAAGAGGACCCTGATACTCGAGTAAACACCGTGACTCACTGTCTCTACAGCAGTCAGCCTCATTCCCCAGACTTCTGCCCAAATGGGCTCATGTACATGTGGACCTGGTGGCAGGGATGGAGGTTATGCATGGAACTTGGCAAACACGGACTTCACTCATGGAAATTCATCCGCCTCCAGGTACTTCCGAGTACCCTACCTGCAAACAGCAGAGGCCAACATCAACCTCCCCGCCCCACCCCCAGGCCCGGACGCCATCCCTGGGATATCAGCTAGCACCTAATGGCAGGTTGTCATCACTGGTCCGCTTCCACCACAAAGAGATCACTAAAATAAACTTGCCTTCCGGGTCCCCATGGCCTTAGAGAATCAACGCCCTGCTCTGCGTCATGGGATCCCCACAGCATTGCTTCTGACCAGGGAACGCACTCTACAGCCACTCAAGTACATGACAATGGGTTTGAGCTCAGGAAATTCATTCATCTTGCCATAGTCCCCACTAACCTGAAGTCACTTACCCAATAGGTCAAAATAATTTTTTCTGAATATTCAGTTATAGTGCCAGCCAACTGGTGACACCTTGTGGGCTTGGGGGCAACAGACCAGAATATCTTCTGGCAGTATTCCTTCTGACTTGGTGTTGCTGTTTCTCCCACAGCCCAGATTCACAGTCCAAGGATCAAGCGGTGAAACAAGAGGAGATTCTTCTCACTGTTACCCCCAGTGACCCACTAACAACATGTTTCCTTTCCTTCCCTAAAATGCTGGACTGCACTGGTCTAAGGCCAAGAAACGGCAATGGTTTCATTAAACTGGAAGCAGGAACTGCCACCTGGCCACACCAGGCTCTTCATGTCAGTAACAGGCAAAGAAGCAGCTCCTGCCATGGCTGAGGTGACGGACCCCAACCGTGAGGAAGCTGTGACCCCAACCGTGAGGAAGCTGTGACCCCATAGTGGGAGTAAGGAAGAACGTGCAGGGGCACTGAGAGACCCCACTGAGTGCCCCTCTGTGTCCTCACACCCTCTGATGAAATGTAATGGAGTCATGACCATCCAATACAGAAGTGCTACTGAAGGCCCAAACCTTTCAGGAAAGGAAGTCAGATCACCCACCAAGAAAAAAACCACAACCCACCAAGGGGTTTGATGAGGGCAGTGGGACTATGAAAGGAGCAGCAGAAGGAAGTGATCCACTCTAGCCATGAACACTGACCAGGTGTGGAGACAGCCTGTTACAGGCTTCCCTTCCTTGTTTTGTTAAGAATGTAACTCTGTATATAGAAACTAATTCTTCTTCCCCCCTCTCCCAGGCCCCTACGTCTCACATAAGAAGTGCTTTAGGAGTCAGTGCTGTGTTAGTATCTCGGAATTTAGGTTACGGGCTCTAGAAGAGAATGGATGTCACCCGAATGTTGGACAAAGGGGCTCTGTCTCCTCTGTGAGGAGCTAGGGAGTTTCCCGTCCCCCAGGCGATGATGGAATCACTCAAGCATGCGCTGCTCGTCTCTACTGGGAAACTCAGCGTGGCTAAAAGAGGTATGCATGGGTGCCAAGCTGACCAAAGAGAAACTGTGGTGGTTTTCTACTGTATCTGCCTAGCAAGGCCGGAACCACACTTCCCCACTTCCCTTTCCTAGACGATTCTGGGCTAGGGTGGCCTCGAGAGAAATCGGGAGTGATGTGGAAGGCAGAGGGGAGCCACGGCCCGGACTCCGCATGTCAGTGCGGGACAGGGACTGCTGCGGCTGGCATGGGCTGCTGCTGGTCACCTCTGTCATCAAGAGAGATGCGGGCTCCAGTCTGTCTGTCCCTCCTCTTCCCCATTCCTCATCCAGCCTGACCAGACACAGCAGAAACTGCCTTCTTCCAGGGAAGAAGTTCTCACAACTGCACACGCTCTCCTTCCTTCAATGAACTCTTCAATCCATGACATTCGAAATGGTTTGGCTTCTCTGATGAGACCATAACCCACAGAGGTTCAACAAAACCATCTCAAAGTTTGCATCTAACTGAGGGCGACATGACCCTGAACTGAGCTGACAAGTCAACCCACGGCTGTTGTTCTTCAAGGGAGGGGCGGCTGCGTCCTGGGGCCGCCAACCGAGAGTCCTGCGGCAGAGGTGACTGGAGAAGCCGCTGTGTGCCATCGCTGATGTCTCCTCATTCCCCAGGCATCAGTTCCTCGCTCACCTTTCCTTCCGGACTCGGCGGCTAGGGAGCAGAGGCTCCCTGAAGAGGCTGAGCCACCAGCTACGTGCAGCTCCTCAGAATGAAAATTACCGACAGCCCACAAAATCAGTCACTCTGCTTCCAGCCTTGAAAGTTCACTGCAGGGGGAAGGCCAGAGACAAACGTCCCAAATGCTAGAAAATAACCTAACAAGAAAACATACTTGTCTTTACTCACTGCCATTACAAAGAAAGGAAACAACGAAGTTCTGAGTTATACCAAGACATTTAATTTGTTTTCTAATTAATCTACTATCTTCTTAAATAGTTGACAAATTACTCCCAAAACCAAAAAATCCATAACCACCTTATCAGGGCTGTACCTTTTCTCATCCAGCGAACAACAACTATTTACTGACACTCGGCCCAGCCTGTGCCCAGCCTGCTCCAGAAGCTGTGGAGGCAGGCAGGTGAGCGAGAGCGGCCCGCACCCTCAGGGGCGTGCAGTGCAGCTGGCCCGGCTTCTCCGCATCCCGTCCCCACACTCAGAAGCATGCCAGCGGGGAAGCTCCCGTTACAACCTCCTTCCAGCCATCAAGACAGAGCCTGCTTTGGTGGAACAGCTGCGTCCACAGACTGCCAAGAAGACAAAGATCCAAAGTGCAAAGTCTCTGTGTGGCAGGGAACAGTCAAACAACTGGGGAAAAGGACAGCGACGCCCTAAGAAGACAGACGAGGCCGAAGACCACGCCCAGAATATCAACACACCAGAAGCCTTCTGAGTACAACCAGCAACCACTCTGTCACTTGCTGCCCAGCTATCTTTTTTTTTTAAAAAGCAAACTGGATTCTGTAAGTTGACATATATTCAACTATTCAACTTTATGAGATGGTAGCTCCCTGCCAGACAGATACTGAAAGGAGACACACAGCAACAATTAAATAAAAATAAATTCTGGATATTCAACACCGGCATGTCACGCTTTATGCGAACTTGAAGCTGGGTACCAACAAACGGGTAGCTCTGAGCGCCACCAGCAGGTGACTAACTGGGGCCGGGAGAACTAGGGCTTAGGCAAAAATTGTCTAACACAACCCGTACCCCAAGAAAAGAGAAAGCCGGACGTCTATGACCGAGATGCGTATTTGTGTTGTACCCAGCTGTTTCCAGCCCAAGAGGCAGGCTGCTGGAAACTGTTCTCATCGTGGCAGGATGGGTGCAGCCCAAGAGCATCAAGGACTAAGGAAGTGGGGGCTGCAGCACGCACCCAAAAACATACCACAAAGAGCCATTTCTCTTCTGTATGCTGATGCCTGTCGCCACAGCAGTAAGCTTTCACTGCCTTTGAGACACGAGGAAGACAGCAGTTGGAATAAACAGAGGCTTGTGTGTGAGGCACTCGGTGTCCTTCTCAAAACCTTTCCTCCATTGACAATCTCTTTGGGTTCAAAAACAACTTGGCCCATGTGTTTATTGCCCTGTTCTCCTTCCTGCCCAGGAACGGGACAGGCTCCGCAACAGTGCCGCAGACCACAGAGGCAGCGCGGCTGGGCAGGGCTGGCCACTCACTTGATGTGATGTATTCTGGAGCTTTTCCGGGGCTCAGCGGCACGGCTTCCTCATAATAACCTTCTGGGAGGGAGGATGTTGGCAATGGTGGAGGCCCACTGTCAGGAGGCTGGGAAGAAAGGAAAAGCAACACAGAAATTAGCATGACCATTAGAAGGAAATTCTGTATTTCCAATTAGCAGATGTGGCCAGTCTTTTCCTCTTTCCTTTGTAAAGTCTCTCAAAAGAGAACCTCATCCTGCGAAGAGGCTTGGGAGCCAGTCCTGATGCGTCTCTCCCACTTTCCTGCGCACATCCACGCCCCAGCCCGGCTGCACGCCGTCCAGTCCGCACCGAGTCTCCAGGTTCAGCGTGCGTGCAGCAGTCTCACTGGAGCATCCGCAGCACGGAACTCCCCTTCCCCTACGTAGGACTGAGCCTGCTCAGACCCTGCCCCGGGGTCCGAGACAGCGTCTGCGTGCCCCTTGTCCTCATGCACTCCACACACACCAGCCTTCGCTGGTCTCAGACGCTGACTGAGATGCCAAGGCCCTGCCACAGGCGGTGGGCTCCGGGGACACAGACGCTCAGGCGCACCAAGCACCTACCACAGAGTGAGCTGGGGAGCCACGCTGGCTGAGTGCATGAGTGAGGCTTGCCCACATTCTCACCATATCCCTGCTGCGTGCTAGGAAAGTTTTTAAAAAGCCAGTCACCTGGGAGCCACTCTCTAAAACAAACTAGAAATGATTCTCCAGAGATGGAATCCATTCCTTGTTAAAACCAGTCCTGTCACAGCTTTTTAACACACTCAGATAGTGAGGCACTCTCTGGTTGTAAAGCCACAGCCTTAGAACATGGAAGAGCTGGGGGCTCATTCCACACCTTGGGACAACCTATGTCCCACCTGGCCTTCAGGACTCCGATCAAGTCCCCTCTTTTCTTAAATGTTCCTGACAGCTCTAATCCACCCCATTTTCTCCCTCCTATGACCATCTACAGGACTTGCTGGTGTGTCTCTCACTGGTCCTCCTGCCAACAGGGACAGCTGAATGGCAGGAAAGCCAGCATTTGCCCAGTGTCTGCTATCTGGCCAGCACTGTGCTAGGCACTTCTGCACTGGCTACAGGAGTGTTAATCGATCCACACAGGAATCCTTTAGGGCACAGGTTCTATTACCTTATATTTTACAGATGCAGAAACTGGGGTTCAGAATCTAAACCTGCTCAAAGTCAGACACTAGTAACTGCCAGCTGGAGTTTTCAAACACCAGGTCTGCCTGTTAAGGACCTTTTCAATATTCATATTCTCTCTCCCCTCTTTCCTATGAATAGCATGCAGCAATTTCCCACTACCTAGATTCTGTAAACAAACTGGGATGAGGTCTGTCACCTGGAATGGAAGAAAGCAGAGGCCCCAAATTGAAATCTCCTCAGTTACAGTTCCAAGTAGGACAATGTTCTATTGAAATTATGGGGCTGTTGTGTTTTTTCTAATGTTAACCCTCCGGAAAGTGTGACTCCATTGCTTTCTATGTAACTCATCTCTGAAGCCAAGAAGTCCTTTGTGAATGACTCATCACCCACTGCAGATTCAACCCGGACTGCCTCTCACCAGATGAAGAGGAGAACTCACTCCAGATCATCTGCACAATATTCCTTCATGGACTTCCAGACAGTTACCTCCCTCCCGCCCCCAGTCCTTGTTCCTGAGGCTAAATAACTCGAACTCCTTTGCACTCCTATCAGAAGCCTGGCTTCCCAAACCGTCACCATTCTGTGGTGTTATGCTGGACCATCTCCAGGTCCTCCGTATCTCCATACAGAGGCAGCTCTTCCAGCAGAACCTGACACATGGTGCCCAGCACCAGGCGGGGTCTGTACAGGAGGCCACATCCCATTTAAAGTCTCTGCTGGTTGCTTTTGGAAAAGAGCTGCTTGATTCACTGAATAAAACTGAGTATCTTTTATTCATGAAACAGAGGGTGTTCCAACTTCCTTCTGGCATGGTCAAACAATCAAATTATTCATGTCCTGGAAAAGCACGACAAATAGCTGAATCAAACAAATGTCTGTGAAATAGTACAGGTCAGACTCCCTTCCTGAGTGCTGCAAGGAACTTACTCTCTGAATTGTAGGGGTTCTGAGCAGACACTTTCAAAGCCTATTATTGGTGGTCATGTACTTGGCATAACCTTTTGAGTATGCCCCTTAGACCCAATAATTCCACTTCTAAAAATATATACCAAAAAGGTCAATTGGTCACATGAAAAAAATATATATATATAAGGATGTTCAATAAGAGTTTGTTTAGTAAAATCCAAAAACAATCTACATGTTCAAGAGAAGATTGCTCAGATATATTGCTATATCCACAGACAGACATTTAAAAGGCCAGTCCATGTGTACAGTCATTCACTTTAGAAACCTCTACAAGATACCGCTGAAGGAAAGAACACAGGTGTACTATGATCTCTTTACATAATGTGTGTGTTTATGCTTACATATACACAAAGGCAGGTCATTCACCAAAAGTGTTAACAGTGGTTGCCCCTTTTTATATTCAATCTGGAATGCTTCCATTTTCTGCATAGTATGTCATTTTAGAAATCATTTTAAAAAATAAAACTATTTTCATTTTGAAATAATACTCCTCAGAAAATGATACTGCTGGAGAATCACTCCACTCTCAAATACTACTTATCCTTGAAATCAGCCACAGGGTTTCAGACACTTCGGCTTGTTAAAGTCAAACAGGAGAAGAGCTGAGAAGATGAGCAAACTGTCACTGACTACCACTCTTTTCAGAGGAACAAGTCTTTCCAATCCTTTCCAATAGGGAAGAATTCACTGAAAGCACAATTCATGGAATTTTCAAAGGTACACAACAGGGGAGGCAGGCTTCCAACAGGGGCCATGGGAAAGCAATGGCCAGGCAGGAAATAACAGAGTCTGGTGAAGGGTGAAGACTCGGGCACACAGCCACATCACATCCAGGGCCGGCTTGTTCCTGCACTTCTGCAAACTTGTCAACACTCCACGTCCCCATTCCCTCATCTAAAACAAGGGCATCAGGTCATGACAACTTCTAGTGCCCGCCCCAGCTTTGAGTCCAATTCCAGCATTCTTAGAAAGTTTCAGGTCCACAGACAACAAAGCCAACTTTACCTCTTCCAAAATTCCATTGAGAGCCAACCCTGTGTCCTCCCAAAAGGATAAAGGATGTGCAAATCTCTGGGCACAGCAAGTCCTTCAAATGTGCTACTGAATGGCAGCACCACACACCACCGTGGAATCAGTCAACTCTCCCTCACTATCAGGAGAGACCCAGTCTGTGCACACATCCGTAACACGTCCTACATCTGTCCCCACTGTTTCCTGTGCTGCCACTCAGAAAACACAAGCTAAGAAAACAAGGGTCGTTGGGCTGGATGCAGTGGCTCCCGCCTGTAATCCCAGCACTTTGGGAGGCCGAGCTGGGCGGATCACGAAGTCAAGAGCTAGAGCCTAGCCTGGCCAACTTAATGAAGCCCCATCTCTACTAACAATACAAAAATTAGCCAAGTGTGGTGGCGGGCGCCTGAATCCCAGCTACTCGGGAGGCTGGGCCAGGAGGCGGAGGTTGCAGTGAGCCGAGATCGCACCGCTGCACTCCAGCCTGGGCACAGAGCAAGACTCCATCTCGGGGAAAAAAAGAAAAAAGAAAAACGAGGGTTCAAAGTCTAACCACCACGGCATCTTTAGACACTTAAAAAGAAATATGAGAAGCTACCCTCCTCAGAGAACAACTGATCTTCACCCCTGCTATACCCTAAAATAAGAAAGAACCTGCACTATGCCAGTGACTAGGGAACTCTCCAATTCACTAAAATATTTCTCCCTCAAGTTAATACTTAAGTAAAAGCTCCTGAACCTTTTAATTTAGAAAATCTTATCTACCTTCGGGTATTGTAAATTTCTCCCATAAGGTCTCCATCTTGCACTAGAGAAAATCAGTACTTACACAACAGCACAGCCATCTAACCTACGCTTGCAGGCTTACGGTACTGGCCATAATTTTAATTCCCATCTTTTGGAAAGGAAAGCCCCTCGGTGTCTGTCATTGCTACTTTAATAAAAAGCGAATTCTTTAAACACAAAGAGAATTCACAGAGAATTCTCTTTCCAATAATAGTAACAATAATGGCCACAGTGGGAGGACTGCTTGAAGCGAGGAGCTCAAGACCAGCCTGGGCAACACGGCAAAATCCCACCTCCACACACAAAAAATTCAAAAATTAGCTAGGCATGATGGTGCACACCTACAGTCCCAGCAACTAGGGAGGCTGAGGTGGGAGGATTGCTGGAGCCCGGGAGGCCGAGGCTGCAGTGAGCCATGATCGTGCCTGGGTGACAGAGTGAGATGCTGTCTCAAATCAATCAATAATTATGTTTGTAAAATGACATGGCATAAAAACAGTGATAATTATTACCGTTATTACTACAGGTCAACAATCTCTTCTCCAAAATGCTTGGGACCAGAAATGTTTCAGATTTTGATTTTTGTTTTGTTTTGTTCTGGATTTGGGGATATCTGCATTATGTACTTACTGCTTGAGCATCCCAAATCCCAAAATCCAAGATCCAGAATCCTCCAAAATCCAAAACTTATTTAGCACTGACATGATGCTCAAAGGACATGCTCACTGGGCATTCTAGATTGCCAGAAGCAGGATGCCCAACCTCTACTGACCATTTGCCTACAGTGTGCCAGCCACTGTCCTGGGATGCTTGATACATATTTTCTTTCATTCAGAAAATAACACTCAGATGTCAGCATCTCAATTATGATTTCATAGATGAGGAAACCGAGACTCAAGAGATTAAAGACCCTGCCTGGGGCTGGACATGCTCATCCACAGAAGTCAGCCAGAATGGGCACGGCCTGCTGACCTGGAAGCTGTGGCACAGCAGTGTGGCATCTGTCGCTTCTGCAGCCTCAGCACCTACCCCACAGGGGCTGAGTGGACAAGATGTAAGGAAGGAGCCAACAAACCGACCAACCAAGACTGCACGGGTCCAAACCTTTGGCTGCCAGATCACACAGCACAAGCAGAGGCGCCGTTTCTTAGAAAGACTCCCCTCCCCGCAC